GTGAATATCCGAATCACGTGTGCATCGATAATGCAAGATAATACAGACTATGCGTGAATACCCAAATTACGTGTGCATCGATAATGCAAGATAATACAGACTATGCGTGAATATCCAAATCACGTGTGCATCGATAATGCAAGATAATAACTACACATCGAGAATCAATGACTTTATTCGAGGGTTGCAACCATTCAAAATGACTTTAGGTTCTACTGAGATCAGACCGATAATTAATTCCAGAATATTTAGTTAGCTACGTATCCTTTATGCGAGTATACAATCCGTCGTCCCGGGTTTTATGCGAGAACAATATCCATCGCTCCGTGCCTTATGCGAGGACGATATCCATAGTTCCGTGCCTTATGCGAGGACGATATCCTTCGCTCCGTGCTTTATGCGAGGACGATCGCATTTTATGATGACCTTGCGTTCATCATAATCCGCTTGAGAATTGCCGATCAATCTCGTATGTGATTTCTGAGTTAAACGAGTTCGATATTTTACCTGAAAGCATCCGCCGGTGATAAATTGTAATGATGGTCATCGACCAAAACCGTAAGAACCTTCTCCAATGGAGAAGGTGGCCGCTTCGTTCCTTTTTAACGATGCCACGTCGCAATGTCCAAGATGGTCGCTTCGTTCCGTTTCAACGAGGCCACGTCGCAATGGCTAAGTTCGTCCTTCCTTCAGTCGTATCGAGCGAGGTACTTTCAATCGCCTCTGAGCAGGGCTGCAATGCTTCCTCTAATATTACGGAGACGTCCTCGTTCTTTCTGTCTCAGACTCAATAGTCTGGCGAATTTCAATCGCGTAGCAATTATACGAATATACGAAGCCGATGTAAAGAACGCGACTGTACGCCTCGCTAGCCGGAAGACGATTGCTTGTTCGGCGGGCTTCACGCCCGTCTCTACACACTCACGCTTGCGCAGTATCGTCTTTTTGTGCCTTTTTCCGGCGCTGGGACGCAACGTGGTCGTCGCAGCGCTCGCGAAACACATAACGTTAAAAAGATAACTAGGGAACTGTAACACCGACGCCATCTGTGAGCATTCTACCGAATTGCCACTTACATCAACAATGTTCACATACACAATCTCTTCACGATTCTTATTACCCGTTTCTAACACACTCTTTTGTATGTAAATTTAGTGCAACAATTTCCTCACGCGACACTATTCTTTCAATGACTTCTTTACGACCATCTTCTTCATCGCTGAAATAATCACTGTCGTCCGTTAACGCGCGATTCTCGTCTACATCCATATCGAAATTATTGTCATCTCCTTTATCGTGAAAAGTATTCCTCTGTATTGAATACTCGGCACAAAAAATGTAAAATAACCGCTATACTTTTTTCCAATCGATGTACCGACGCGTAGACTATCAAATCACAGACTGTGATTTTGACTAGCTTCATTCTTTCTTATATACTTTTACTATTGCCTTTTTTTCTCTCGTTCCAACTAAAGCATCGCGTATCGTTTCTTCTGTTTTAGTGCATGGTGTGCATACACTGCAAATTTTGCAATTTCGCATAAGTCAATGAAGCGATATTGTTTTTTAAGAACATATCGCGACATGTCTCGCGATGATTTCATCGAACACGTGCAAAACTGTAAATTTTGCAAATAGCGCCGATGTATGGCTGCTGCAATTATACAGATCAAATCACCGAAAGTCAATGGCATGATATCGTTTTCAAGAACATACGTGTCTTGCAATGATTTCATCGAACACGTGCAAAACTGCAAATCGTACATTTTTCGATAAAAAAGCAAACGATGCATCATTAGTAGGATATAAAATGACGAATCTGGGGGATACGCTCAGTAGTCGAGAATTGGAAGTCGTGAGTACAACAAATTGTGTTAGAAAAAAGATCGTGTAATAACATGTGTTTTGTAGAAATACCGCGAGAAATTAAATTGAAGAGAGCGGCGATAAACGTGCAATCAATAAACAATGCATGTTTTGCATGGTCAGTGACGGCTGCTCTACATCCAGCCCAAAGAAATGCAAAACGGGAATCGTCGTATCCACATTACACGTCGGTGCTAAATCTTACGGACATTGAGTTTCCAACGTTGGATAAAATTAAAAATTTTGAAAATCACAACGACATCTCTATCAACGTGTTTAGCATCGAGAAAAAAAACAAGAAACTTGCTATCCAGCCAATACGAGTTACTGATCGAAAGATGGACAAACATGTAAATCTGCTGTACGTGCATTACGACAACGTGGGACATTTTGCATGGATCAAGAACCTATCCCGCCTCGTGAGCTCGCAAATCAACAGGCACCGTGGTCGGAAATACTTTTGCGATCGGTGAGTATACATCCTAATAAATAATAAAAATAATTTTTACGTAAAAGATATATAAAAAATTTCATTATTTACAGATGTTTGCACTATTTCTACACGAGCGAGAAATTGGAAGCCCGCACCGTCGACTGTCGGGAGATGAACGACTGCGCGATCAAGTTACCGAGCGATAACGATAAGTGGTTGGCCTTTAAGAATCACAGCAGGCGTGCATAAGATCCAAACACAAGATGTACACCTTGTCCGAAACGAAAATAGCTCTAAGTCCGTACGACGATAAGCGATACATTATACCCGGTTCTACCGAGACGCTGCCATGGGGGCATTATAAAATGCCATCGTAAATATATATATTGTAATTACATTTAGATATGTATCAAAATAAATGACTCATTTGTATGTATAATATGTTTTTATATTGTAATAAATTTTTACAATACATTATTCTTGTGTATCCATGAATTATGTGAATTATTAAATCCTAACCACTTTACATAAACCTCATCCCCCCTTTTACGCAAAACTTTTTCAACGAGATACACATCGGGATTAGCAACGCAATGTAACTCGTATTCGTAGAAGCCGCCGGCGACGGGTTTTCCGCAAGAATCTTCCAATAGATACGTCACGGGATTAGTTTTCTGCACTTTGACGATTCTAAACACCTCCGTGGTCCAATTTGGTGTGTGTATTCTTTCTTGAAGATTGTCTTGAATTTACTCACGCGTACCGAGTCGCGTGAGTAAATTCAAGACCACTTTGAATCGCGCGGGAGCAGCGATCTTTACGTGGCTGTACACCGTTGTTAGGAGCTTGTCGGCGATCGCGGGGGTAACATCGATGGGTCGCATGCCGATAGTTCGATGCTTTCGCGCGTTGTAATCCGATACGAGACCCGGCAACGAGTCGATCCATTTGTAATTTCCATTGCGCGTAAACATTTTTCACATGCCGTTCTTGAGCGTGCGATTGAATCGTTCGACGACCGATGCATTCATTACGGAATAGGTCGAATAGTGATTGATATTATGTTTCTTCAAAAGTTTCTGCACGTTTGCGTTGTAAAATTCTTTCCCCTTGTCAGTCTGCAGATTTTTCAGGCATCTTCCGCCGTCTCGAATTATTTTCACAATCGCCGTAGTAACCTCGATTCTGCTCTTGGCCTTGAGCGGTACGGCCCATGCGTGCTTGCTCAGCACGTCGATAACGGTGAGTATTTAGTGGTAGCCTTTGTTGAATCGCGTGTATGGGCGCATCTCGACCACATCCGCCTGCCACAGGTCATCGTATCCGCGCACTATGACGCGTCTTCGCGAATAATTT